AGAGACATGTCCACTGAAGGGTTCGGAAAAAGGATTGCTTGAGTTTGTTTTTGAAGGTTTTTTTTTAAACAGACACGCACACACATGTTGCGTATTGCCAAAGCCCGACAGCTCGTCCCTCCCTCCCATGATGCACTATGTCACACTATCCTTTTTCACTGGGTGGGTGTTTGCGCGCATCGCATCTGTGGTTTATGAACCCTAAAATCCCGAGTGTAAATTCCCATACCCCCGCGTCTCCCTAGTGACATCATCCGCATTGTGGGAGCGGGGTGGGTGCGATTCAGAGGTCAGTACATGATGAGGCCCCAGAATTCCCCAGCTTCTCGTTCTCCTCTGCTGCAGACCCCCACTCCAAGGCAGGAAATACAAAACAGATCTCAACCCCCAAACTCCCAAGCATGTCGAGGAGCCATTTTCCCCTCACTCTCTGCCTTTCCTCTGTTGCTCCATCACGCCGTCTCATAATCCGGCCCTCTTTAGCCACATTTGTAGTGTTTATAGTATAAATATACTTGAATAAAGAGCACAGCTTCACGCTGTCATCTTCTGACGAGGGACTATGAGTTACTTGCTCAGTCTGAAGTAGCAAAAGTAGAGTAGAACTTTTTGTTCTTGTTGTTGACAGTTTTCGAACCTTTCGGAACGTTTTCGTGCTCCTGGCTGGTTTATGGCGTTGTTTAGTCGTTTCTGTCCGATCTTGTTGGCCGCTTCGTGCTTCGGCACTAGCAGAGAGAGCTTGAGTGTCACTTTTACTCGCGCGCTGTTTTGTACACTACACTAAAAACAAACGCTGTGGGTTGTTTCTTTACGGTTGATGCTGACTTTAAATGTGTTGGTAGAGAAAAGTGACTGGAAATTGTGTGTGCTATTGTTTGATTCTGTGCTCTGAACATAGGCGCACGTGTACGTCACCGCGCTGCCGGCCATGATTTATGTGTCGTCACGAGGGAGGCTTGTAAATGAGAGTACGTACACTGGGCTGTCTGGGAAATGAGCTCATTGTCACTACTAGGCCCTCCAACTCTCTGCTTCTCTTTCACTTGGTCTGTCACTTTCTCTCTCTCTCTCTCTCTCTCTCTCTCTCCCTGTTCTCCCTCCCCCATCCCCCCCCCCAGCTGCCAGTTAAAAGCACATCTATCTGTGTGTTTTAATTAGGGCCTCCCCTATTTGTGGCTGAATGGACGCTTCATTAACAGAAAACGCTGGGAGACGAACGCTCAGATCTGTCCGGCTTGTGACACTAAGCAAGGGGGGAAAGGGTGTGTGTGTGTGTG